ATCCAAGCACCCGTGAAGCAATGATGCTCTCGTAAGAGTTTTGAAGCATGGGCTCATGAGCTGACATAGACGATGACAAACAGTATACCCCAGATCAAGATTCTCTACCCGTGACTGCGGACCTATCGGGGGTATAGATGTGATAATTTTAGAATAAAATTACTTTTATCCCAAAATTGGAGGGCATGTGTTTACACTAAAATTTGGAAGAAAAATTGCAGGGACTCGAAAGCTCCCAATATCACGTCATCAAGGAATCGATTGCTTGAAGGTCGGAATCAGCTGATTCGAATGCAACACTGGAATCGGCTTTCTTCAAATAACGTCAGCAAATAACGACAAAAGCTACGATCGACGCCGGAAAAACATGTTGGACTCTACAAAAAGGGAAAGATTAGGGTCCAAGTTATCTTAAATTAGGAATATTTTCTCTTAGACCAAAAATTATGATGAGTCATGCTTAAGTAGGATTCATGCGTAGGTTCCGGATATAAATATTGGACCCCGACTATTGTAAAGGACACACAATCAATTAAATATAAGTTACTTAATTTTTTTGGCTTCGGCCACCCCTTAGGAGTAGGAGTAGAGTAGATCTCGATGAGTTCTTCAGCGAGCAGGGCTGCATCGGTCTGGTCGACCTCCGACTTGTCTGTAAGTACTGTCATGGCTTATACTTCTGTTCGTATGGCTGCATCGATTCGGTCGACCTTCACTACGACTCTGGTATAAGCTAGTTATCGACTCTTGTTTAGTTCAAGTAAGGCTGCATCGATCCGGTCGTCCTCCACTGCTCGAACTAGATTAAGGTAAGTTATCGGCTCTATCTAAGGGTGGTGTCCTTCGATAGATTCATTAAGTTACCGATATTGTCTATTGCTTTCATTATTTATTTAATTACAACAATATCACTTCGCCTGATTGGGATTGATCTAGATTGGTCTTATATCCTGTTTAACCCATTGTCTATTAATCTAAATTGATCTAATTTGTACCTTAAACTATGAGTTATGTTTTATCGGCTATTTTATGTCAATCTTGATCGTGCATAGCGTGTAGTTAAGGCATGACTGATCTTGAATAGATCTATTGGTTAACGAAAACCGTTTCATGGCCCGTTATCATGGCCTGTGTGATTCTGCCTCACACCCCACTGTTAGCACCGTGGAGTGGGGATCGTTATTTGGTAGATATATTCCTGATGATGTATGACCTTAATTGTGCGCTATGTCTGAATCGGCTGTTTTAGCCGATGTTGAGTGCTTTCACATATGCAGTTCACGTCACGAGACTGTTGAAGTAAAGATAGGTTGAAAGATGTGTTAGCCCATGATCTTATTATTGTATTACGGCCTACATGATTCTGTCTCATAGCTCACTGATATTAGTAATAAGTTAGAGTCGTCGAATTTATCGCTATTTCTACGGCTTGTATGATTCTGCCCTATGCTCCACTAGTCATAACGATAGATGAGATCTAATATGTTTATTAGATTTATCTCTTTTAAATAGTAAAATAATGATGAACTGTTTCTTTTATATAAAAAGAGATTCGGTTACTTGCAGTCATTGGCTTAGCATAAACTGATTATTGTTGGCATCCTATTGTCATTGACTAATATTTGTCTAAATAATGATATTCATCCTGAATGATAACCGATTTTTCTTCCACGACCCCATGAGCTTTAACTGATTTATTCTTATGAGTATGCTGGAATCGACTATTTAGTCGATCTCCTTCCACATCGGCTCTCAGAGCCACACATTCGGGACTGTCTGTCAACACCGGCATGTTCCGTCTTAAATTAGTGATTAACTTTCTCTCATTGTAAATTACAGGGTCAAATTGACTGGCACGCCTCGGGAGGAGTGCACAGGATCGATAATCCCTGCGTTGAAGTTAGACGGATCTCCAGCTCCATCGAGCAGACCCTTCCGGCTTACTCGTGTGCCCTCGGTACGGGACGAAATTTTGTACCGATACACCGTTCATCTTCTTTCTAGACCCCGCTGCCCCACCATGGCTGTGCTAGAATTTCACCGAAGCTCCGCAGCTGCGGCCACCCGCCGCCCCACCATAGCCGCGCTAAGGTTTCGCCGAAGCCCCGGTAAAGAACAGTATGGTAGCTGGCAGTAAAGTTTTAGTAGCTATGGTTTATGAGTAGTAAATTGTTTGGGCGTCCATATTTTTCAAACACGGATCTGAAACCGAATAAAGAAGAATCATAGAAAATGGGTACGAATACATCCATTTAGCATCTATATTATAATCAAATACGAATAGGAATATGGGTATCAATATCAGATCTTTTACATCCGGATCTATGCTGGAGGTAGAAGACGACCACCTGGGTCCTGGGGCGCACCTTGGGCCAGAAGTGGAGAACTCTATTGGCCCAGAAAAGCCCAGTACTCGGTCTTTTTATCTGTTTGACACTTCGACAGAAGTGTCGTTCCCATTTCCTTCTCCGGACGCTTCTCAAAAAAAAAAAGTTCCTTCTCCGGACTCGCTAAAAATTGAGGCGGCGACGGCAGCCAGCACCGGATGCAGCGAGGACGAGCAGCATGCCACAGGGGGCAGGCCGTCCAAAGTCCAAACCCCAGGTAGCAGGCCGCCAGCAGGTTGGGCTCGGCAGGCGGCCAACGGGTAGCGGCCCAGCCTTCCAGGACTCTCTATGCTTGTAAATCGCATCTACGACTACGAGGTTGAGAAGCCCGACAGATTCCAAACTTATGGGTCTGTACAGTTCAATTTCCCTAAAGAGATGATGACCGAGACCGAGTCACTTTAGTATTAAAGTTGGACGAAAAATTATTAGTATCAGAAATTTTGTCTCTTTAGTATTAGGTATAGATATAGATTTGAATTTGAATAGAATATGGATATTTTTGAATACATATAAGGCGGATGTCTTGGATTTGGATTTCTATTCGGATATTTACTCGATTCAATTCAACTCAAAGTACGTATTATTTAATTTAACGATAACCAAAGTGAAATAAAATTAAAGTACACTTCTAATTATCTCCAATATCAAAATGAACTAAATTATAGTGGATAATATTTAATAGAATGATGGATCAAGTGAAGAAATTCAAATAAGATTGGTAGGCAAAAAATAGCCATTTTGCTTTACCAATTTTTTAATTACAAAATTATTATACTAATACATATTAAAACATGTGGATATATAACATAGACAAAAATAGCTCAACAAATTAATAAAGTTACCAATAAATATAGTATTTAAATATATAAGTAACCAATCATTATTTATATAATATTTACCATGCAATTATAAATTATATAAAATATTTTACATATGGAAATAATTTAATGGAAGTATTAAAATAATTTACAACAATAAATATATTAGGTTTACACTGGAATTAGAAAAATATTAAAATAATTTAAATCATTATGTATCATTAATAGTAATAAACTAATATTAAAAGTCATCTATAGATATCCTATTAAGTAGTTTTAATGCGTTTAAGTTAAATAATTAGTCACTTTTAAATAGATTGTTCTTTGCGGATATGAATAGATGTCAAATATTGTATATTTTTGTCGAATACGGATCTGAAATTGGTTAGAGAAAAATACCGGGAAACGAATTCGGATATAACCATTTAGTATCCACGTTAGAAACAAATTTGAATACAGATATTCATATTATAAATTGAGTAAAGTCAATTCCAAACCCCCAAACTTTTTGCTGATTTTGAAAGACCCCTTCGAAGTACAATATCGGACAACATAGTCCATTAGCTTTCAAAACTAGATAAAGTAACCCCTTGATCATTTCAAAGTGATTTCTTAGGTGGTATTGCTGATGTGGCAGTGGGGCCCACCTATTGTTTGGTCTTTCTTTCTCTTATATATAAAAGGCTAACTTTTTCATATGAAGTCGTATGGATACAAACTTTATATCAAAGTTGCAGAGCTTGACACACCTACAACTTTGTTTTTATAAACGAGGGCATCCTCATTTCCATTACCATAGCAATGGAAATACAACAATTTATAGAATTCGGAAAGCAAAAGATATGCCCGGAAGTGCCAGAACACAAAGTTTAAGCTGGCTCCTTATAGCTGACAAAACCAAGCAACTAACTGAACAAAAGTTGCAGTCTATCAAAAGGACGCCAACCCAACACATCAGAACAGACAACTTCACTTTGGCTTCGCCTTCGTCATCATCACCTTCTCTATTTAATAAATTTTAGAGGCTCAAATCTTCATTTTAAGTTACTAGGTTTAAAATTCAAAATTTTGATTTTCACAAATGACCTCGGATATTGACATAGTCTATACCAAAGTTGTAATTCTCGGTAAACTTTGTAGTTGATTTTTTTTTATTTGAGATCATTTGGAGCCCTAAATATTTATTTTTAAATTCTATAATTTTGAAATTCAATTTTTTGTTTTTCAAACGACCTACTATGTTGATGTAGTCTACACCAAAGCTGTAGATTTTAACATGATCTATAATTTTGTAGCTGACAACTTTTTTATTTGATATCGTTTAGAGGCCCAAATTGTTTGTCTTTCGAAAAAGGGTTAATTTGATACATCCCATTATAAATGTCAGGCTTTGGAAATATCCTATTACTATTCATCGTATTGGAAACGTACCGTTACAATTTCACAAGTCTTTGAAATATACCACTACTTACCCCTTCAACTCATTTATCTAAATTTTTAGACCAAATTGCCCTCTTCTTCCTCCTTGCTCCTCTGTTGTACGAGCTGGACACCGCCTATGCATGGGCGGCGGCATGCAGCGCCGCACCTCGCTCATGTGGCCTCGCAGCACCGTGCTCGCCGGCCCACCACTGCAGCCTCGCCGGCACGCCAGCCCCACGCCTCCCACTGCTCACCGGTTCACCACGCATCTGCGACATGCTGGCACGTCGGCCTGCCGCTGGACGGCGCGCTCCAGCTCGTCCCTACAGCGCGCAGCACGGAGCCTCCAGAGAAAGAAGTAGCCGTATCCATGGCCGTGCTGGTCGCGAGGCTGGAGCGCGAGCTGCAGTGGGTACAGCCAGACTGCCAGAGCACCTGTGGGCACATCATGGTGTGCTTTCGGCTTCGTCGAGCGCTCTCCTATGGCCACGTCATGGAAGACGTCTACGAGCCGGTCCTTGGCCACCGCCGGAGGGAGCCGGAACGAGTGGAGCAAGGAGTCGTAAGCATGTTTGGGCAGGCCAAGCTTCCATGGATTTGCAGCGGCTAAGGCGACATTGACAGGTACTGCGTGTTTGGGCTGGGCTCAGGTGCCGACGCAGCCACGGTGGTCAGCTCGTACAAAATGGAAGAGGGAGGAAGGAGGAAGACCGAGGGCAGTTTGGTCCAAAAATTCAGATAAATGAATCGAAAGGGTATGCAATGGTATATTTCAGAGATTCATGAAATTATAATGGTACACTTCCAATAGCATGAATAGTAATGATATTTCTCCAAACTTACATAAATGTAATGGCACCATTCGAATTAACCCTTAGAAAAAAATCAAAGAAATTGGGTTTCAAGTGTAAGAATTTAAAATGAATATCTAAACGACTCCGGATAAGATAAAAATATTATCAACTATAAAGTTGTAGAACATGTTGAGAGCTACAACTTTGGTGTAGATTACATCAACATCAGAGGTCGTTTGAAAAAAAATCAAATTTCAAAATTACAAAACTTAAAACGAATATTTGGGGCGCCGAATGATCTCAGATAAAAAAGTTATCAAGTACAAAGTTATTGATTTTATTGAGAAGTACAATTTTGGTATAGACTATGTCAACACCCAGGGTCATTTGAAAATTTTAAATATTTGAATTTTAAAATCTAGAAACTTAAAATGAATATTCGAGACTCTAAAATTTATCAAGTACAAAGTTATAGATCGTGTTGAGCTCTACAACTTTGTTGTAAAATTTGTTGTTATAGGAGCAAAACCACCTAAGAAACCACTTTAAAATGGAAGGGGACTGGTTTCGAAAGTTTGGGGTAGGTATGTTGTTCAGTTTTATAGTTTGAGAGGGTCTTTCAAAATTAGTGACTAGTTCGGGAGGTGAATCGAACTTTACTCCAATTTTGAGCGAATGAATATCCATTTTTATTTTTTTCACCTCTACACTAGGTTCGTGCCCGTATGTTATTATAGGACAACTAAACTTTTGTACTAAAAACACACAGATCGCATGATAAGATAACAATACTGTAAAAGGTCACTTTAACGGTATTGTTATCTTATCATGCGATCAGTGTGTTTTTAGTACAAAAGTTTAGTTTTTCCGTAGCAACGAGCATGAACCTAGTTGGATAAAAAATACCGTAATTTACGGTTGTGAAGCGATCGCTAGAGCTGCTCGTGTGTCGGGTACAGAAAAAAATCCTTTATCATGCGATCAATGTGTTTTTAATACAAAAGTTTAGTTTTCCCGTAGCAACGAGCACGAACCTTGTCGGATAAAAAATACCGTAATTTACAGTTGTGAAGCGATCGCTAGAGCTGCTCGTGTGTCGGGTACAGAATTTTTTTTCCTTTCTTTACAGTTGCATGCATGCAGCATGCAGGACATCATAACTCCCTCTCATGCAGCCTTCTTTTACGGACGAGAGCCAGGCGCCCAGATTCGACCGATCAGCTTTTTACAGTTAGCCTGTTTGGTTGGCTGATCATTTCGTTGCTGGGTCGTGAAGAAGTACTGCTGGCTGATTTGTGTGAGAGAAAAATACTGTTCCAACTAAAAATTTACGATCGTTTACGACAAGCCACAGCCAAACGAACAGGCTGATTGTGTACATGCAGGTGTGGGCGGGCAGGTGGGAGGCGGGGATCGCAGGGAGAGGCAGAATGTCATACAGGATTTTTTATCGCACGACCGATGAACGATTGTCTTATGGATTTTTTAGCTGTTGAGACAGAGATGTAGAGATTTGAGCCGAGCTCACTTACCATATACAGGGACAAATTTCGAATTTGCTCCCCTATCTGCAAGGGCTTCTTCGCCCGTCAGATTCCCAAAATTTGAAACCCCGAACCACGGCCCCAACTCCGCAATGGCGGTCGGCTCCCTTCCATCTATCTCCGCCCAAAAAGTTGAAATCCTTTTCATTTCCCCCTTCACCAACCTCCGACCCGAGCCCCGCGAATTAGCGATGGTGGATCCGCCGTCTGTGCTCACGCTCCTGGTGAAGACGGGCCTTTGCGAAGGGAGGACCCTGCAGCGCCGCAGCACTCCGTGTCGGCCGCGTTGCGAAGGGCAACGACCTCTCCGTGCGCGACGCGGGCGCGTCGCAGAGGCATCTCTCCGTCGAGTTCCTCCCGCCGCCTGCGGCCCGGTGGGCCGTCACCGACCTAGGCTCCTCCAATGGCACCCTTTTCAATGGTACGCCTCTCGTGCCCACCGTCCCCGCGCCGCTCTCCGATGGGGACCTCATCAAGATCGGGGAGAGCACCGTGATCGCTGTCTCCATATCGATCGATGCGGGCCCAGGACCGGGCCCCGCCGCGACTAGGCGTTTCGCGCGCAACGCAACGGCCGTGGCAGCGGCGGCGGAGGAGGAGGAACAGGGCCCTGCGGTTTCGCGCAGGGCCAGACGGAGGAAGGCCGGTGCGGCGGAAGCCCCCGAAGCTGGGAATGAAGTGGAGGAGGAAGCTGCACTGCCGACTCGCCGAGGCGGGCGGAAGAAGGCCGTTGAGCCCGCTGGGGTGGAGATGGAAGAGCAAAAGGAAGAGGAAGAGGAGGCGGCAATACCGCGCCGTGGCAGGTCAAGGAAGGCTGCAGCGGCGGTCGTCCTTCCGCCACACCCGCAAAATACGAGGTCAGCGAGAGCTATTGCAAGGAGAGGTGAGGCGGTGCGGTGCCAAATCGATGAGGAGAAAGTGGTGAGGACTGGAAGGGGGCAAGGACGGGCTACACGGGCAAGTGCAAGGAATGGCACGAGTCTTACTCCCGAGGAGGAGGAAGAGGAGGGTGAGGTTGCTGTGGCCAGAGATCGGGAAGGGACAGCTGCCGAGGGCAGAGGTGATGAAGAGGAGAATATGGTAGAGACCACAGACAAAACTTCAAATGCATCAGAGGTGGTGCTGGCGGCTGGGAGAGGACGAGCAAAGAGGAGCAGAAGAGGCTGAGGAAGGGCTACAAGGGCAAGTACAAGGAAAGCTGAGGATGCAATTGTTGAGAACGATGAAAATGAGCAAGAGGAAAGGGATATGGCTGATGGCAGAGAGCGAGGGGGGAGCCCATTGAGGGTGTTAGCCATGAATGATGGTTCTGAAGAGGACAAGGTGGCAACTGAGGACGACAAGTTGGATGGAACCTCAAAGGCATCCATGGAGGATGAGAAGATGGTTGATGTGGAGGAGGATGCGACATTTACAGAGAGGGCAATAGAGGGGAGGGTCGATGCTCAGCATGCTCCTGCTGACAATGGTGGTGTGGAAGAAGAGGAGGTGAAGAATTTGAGCAAGGGAGGGGAAACTGAAGTTGATCAGGAATTGAGGGAAAAAGTGTCACCAGAGTCAAAGCTGGATGGTGTTGGAGAAGTTGAAGAGAATGACAAGAGGGAAGCTATTGGTGCCAGTGGAGAGAAGGGCCATGTGGGGGAGCGCACAGGAAGACGCAGCTTGGAGAATATGACATTGGGGGAGTGGTTTGTTCAGATCGAGAAATACCTTCTAGCAAAGAACAAAGAGGCTGCTGAAAAGGCGATAGCTGAAGTGCAAGAGAAACATCAGCGGTTTTGTGAGCATGTTAAAACACTCAAAAAGAGTCCTGCTCCTTGAGATTCCATGGTACATTCAGCTATAACCAAAACATTGTCCTATTATCACTTCTGTTCATATTTTTTTTAAGAATCAATTTCAGTTTTGCAAATGCCCATAATATATTTGTTAAGCATGAACTTTGCTATACTGCAATGAAATATTCTTGTGAGAAATGTTGAAATCTTGTCGCTAAATCTTTCAAGTTTTTGTCCTATGGTGAATGCTGATTAGAATTAGAAATTTTCTTCTAGCAAACAACTTGTTTGCGAGTGGCAAGGGGTAGGTGGCAATTTTGATTCTTATATATGTAAAGAGAGCTGTACTGTGGCCTTGTTTGGTGCAACTTGTAATTGTGCAGAATTTTCTTTTATGAGAAGCCGGTGAAAAGTTTATTTTTATTATTCAGTAAATAAGCTGTGCCAAACAGGGCCATAGTTTTTTTTTTCTGTACATCCTTAGTTTTTCTTTTTCTTTTATACCACATACTTGAACTATGCCTTTCTGTTGCTGACAAATTTTATGGTCTTGTGTGCTTTGATTTCATAAAAGTCATGGTGCACAGTTCACCTGCAATATTAGCTTTTGTCTGACCCTTCGCTATGTTGAATATCTAATTAACAAGACCATTTGTGTGGAAGAATTTGGCCGATTCTTTCCGGATATTATCCACTGTTTTGCCACCTCTGATTCTCTGAATGATTCAATAAGGGTGCTTGAGTTTTTTGTTTCTTTTTTTGCACAGTTTCATCAATCGCTTAAAGAGAAATTAAGATAAATCTGTTACTTCAAAGTTTTCTTTCAGTAATCCTGCCCAACTGAATGAAACCTTGTTACTTTTTAATAACTAATAGATTGCTTATTTGACTATTATCCACAAGTTGCTTAAGCCTGCCATATTGTCTACAGGATAATCTGGAAATATTTTGGACAGCCTAATGTTGGATGGTTTGATGACACCATGATATCATAATGAAGACGACAATGCTGAAGCGTCACAAACTGTAGGTTTGTGGTGTAGACACCAGTAGCAGTGTGGTGATCTTGGAAGTTGTTTATTACTATTCATGATTGTGATGAGAATGTCGTACTTGTATGTATAAAGCAGTAGAGTTGAAGCTCCATTGAATTCACTGTTTCATCCAGTAGTGTTCTTCTGTCCTGAATCTCTATGATAGTTAACTGCAATATATCCTTTTATCATGTGTCTAGGTTTTATAATGCAGATAATTGGAGGGTGGTAACACAAAGTGGAGAAAGATGAGTACAGTCTTCATGAGCCTGACCATTCCTGAGATTCTGACTATAGTCGTCCAAATTGTGAATTCAGTCTTATTTGGTTGAAGTAGAGAGGTGAGGTAAACATACAGAATGATTTTTTTCTCTCTTGAAAGCGCAGGAGACATGCATATCATTATAATAAGAAAACGAGCCTGAGAAGAATAAAACACACCCATTTTCATTTAGGTGAAGTTCAGTACAGGGGACTCGCCAGAAAAAACAATGCTGGCCATTGTTGAGATTAAGTAGCACTGACCATCTTTGGGATTTGACACTTGGTAGATGAGAGCAAAGCAGATGTCTCAGAGAAGCTCACCGTCCAGCCACCTTTGAGCCATCGCCAAACTTTTTTTCAGGTTGGCATTCTGCAGTAATATGGCTGGCACCCTGCGCAAGCAACAAAGCATTAGGTTACTACGTCTGATTACCTGATCTAACACATGAACGTGCGTGAGCTATCGACATATTGTTGGTGTATGTTATCGTAAACCTGAACAGGAGAATTAAAGAAAAAGAATGCAAGTGATGCCCCTGTCAGAGAGCGAATTCCAGACGATTGGATTGTAATACAATTTTTATTTGGCAAACATTTGTATATTCAGCAGGTGACCTAAATCCCTTATACACGTCATACGTCAGTGTAGGGAAAAAGAAGGGAGTTAGATGACTTAACCCAGCAGCCTGGCCATTGAAGTGCCATGCTGTCCAGTCTTCAACTTTGGGGAAATTCAGTGATCTTATCGACGCTTGCGTGCCGAGGAATGCTATCATAAGGTCATGGTCTCCACTGTACCCACAAAGATTGCAATGGAAGAAGGTTCAGGCTCAGCTAGAAACAAGTGTTAATCGGTACTCGATGCTGCTTTGGGAGGTCTTTTGCATAAGGAAGCCCTTCGGTGCACCTTATCCATTCACCAATTGTCCCCTTTTTGACGATCCATATTTGCATCGTATATTAGCGATTAATAGAAAAAATGGCCTATTATGCGGTCTAGAGAATCATGCATTAACCACAGGTCTCTAGTTTCACATCTTAGGAGTATAGAGTAAATTGCACCGCAGATCTTTAAACTATTGGTCAATTCCTAGACGGGTCCTCTAACTAAAAAAGATACCATTTGGGTCCTGGATCTATATTTCGTTGTCACCAACGGTCCAAAACGTGCCACATGAGCCCCCAGCAGCTGACGTGGACAAGCCACCCTGCATGAAGGGCACGGCCATTTTGCTGAAACCCCCCTGCCGAACCTGGCCGCTCTCCTCATTCACTCTCCCGTCGTCTCTCTCCCCTGTCTCTCTCTGCTCAAGCGCTGAGCCGCCGCCGCCCGCCTCCCCAAAGCTCACCGCCACCTCGGAGATTCGCCGTGTCTCCGCACCGCCACATTGAGGCGGGGTGAGGTCCGCCGGGGGTTTTGCTCCGCCGCATCCGGTGCGGTGTGGCGGGGCACGGCACCATGGCCGGTCGGCGACGACTGCAAGGGGAACCAGCACCTAATTATGGTAAGTGCCGCGAAGCCCTATCCTATGTTCAATGTAGTTTGTGATAGTTGATTCTGGTGTTGTAGTACATGGATTTGATGTACAGATACGGTTGTTAGGGCAAAGCACTGAACTTTAGGTTTTTGTTGAATGTTTAGGGCCTGATGATGACGAGTTATCTGTGGAAGTACATCATGGGGAATTTTTCCTGTGGGGCTGGTAAAAATTGGGTTTATCTAGATGGCAAGGTGGATTGGTTTGACCATATCAAAGTGCAGTACTGGCGTTTTTCTAGAATTGATGAGATCAAGTTGATGCTAGATTATGGACTTGAGAATGTCAACGTTCACTGGTTGTTTCCTGGGATGGATTTGGCTACTGGTTTGCGAATTGTAGACTCAGATAGAGAAACACTCATCATGAAGCAAGTTGCATATAAGGTTAAAAACTTTGTGCTGTACTTTGATCAGTACAATTCACTTGATGACAACACCTGGGAAGACATTGTGTTGAATCCAGTTGGTACACTACCCAAAGTGTTGAGTCCCAGGAAGGTGGCACCTGAAAGAGATGATGATGTGGGCAGTGAAGGCAGTGACAAGGATGGCAGTACAGATGGGGAATTTGTAGACAGTGACTATGAAGTTGATGATGATGACGATGACCTATTTTATGACAATGTTGATGATGGGGTGGTTGATGAGGGTGCAACCAAGGGCATGGTACTCAGCAAAGGGAAGAAGAGAAATGCACCATCTGGCAAACAGAACATGGCAATAGATAGGGAATGTGGTTGTATTGACTCAACCACATTGCTGTCAATTGTTGTAAAAAAATCCTGTCAATTGTATCACATATTTGTCAATTATATTGAATGAATAAAAAATTGCATCACAGATGAAGGTGACTGATTTGCATCAATGAAACACATTGCACTTCACTGAAACCCATCATCATGAAATAAGTACTGCATTAACTGAAACTATTTTACATTACAATTCCTAATCCTACTTCAGCAACATGCTAATCACACCACCAACAACAAACACTATAACAACAACAGAACAAACAGCTCCAATTTTCCCTAGGTCTACCGACTTCTTCAACTTTGCATCCAAGCCAGCAATCCTTGTCTCCAGTGCCTCCACATCATGTTCTGCTCCCTTCAAGCCTCCAAGTTCATCATAAATCATAGTTTCAGTCCCCTTCGAATGAGCAGTCTCCTATACTTGTCGGCAAACAAGTACCACGGGCAAGTTCCTGGCACCTGCAATTGGGATTTGGTCACCAAATTACATGACAACTACATCAAACCCTAAATCAAGCAAGTGAACTATGAACTCACATCTCTTTCGTGAAGGCGGCATTTGAAGAAGATGGCCCCAGGGACCTTAGATCCGAGCGCAGAGACGAGCTCCAAGATCTCCTCACTGCATTTGGGGCACGGCACAAGCGGCAGCCCAGTGCGCTGCCCGCATTTCAGAGGCAGGCGCTGGTAACCGGAGCTCCCCTCGCCAAGCAGGCTGGTAGACGCTCGCATGGCTACTGGCGGAGGTGGGACTCGGTGCACTTCTGAGGTGAAGGCGAGCTTGGGGAGGCGGGTGGCGGTGAGCTTTGGGGAGGCAGGCGACGACTCAGCGCTTGAGCAGAGAGAAATAGGGGAGAGAGACGATGGGAAGGAGATGAGGAGAGCGTGGTTCGGTGGGGGTGGTTTCCGCAAAATAGCCGAGCCCTTCATCCAGGGTGGCTTGTCCACGTCAGCTGCTAGGGCTCGCGTGGCACGTTTTGGACTGTTAGTGACTGCGAAATATAGATCCAGAACCCTGGTGGTATCTTTTTTAGTTAGAGGACCCATCTGGGAATCGACCAATAGTTTAAGGACCTACGGTGCAATTTACTCTATATAATTCTTGACTGTAGATTTGTGCTTAGCAGAAGCAGTTTCCTAACAAGAACAAAATATTTAATTGTGTGCAAACCGAAAACAAATACGTACCTCCTTGATCCCAAGAGCATCACTAGTTGCATTGTTGTTCATCCAATAGTAAGACATGTAGTAACGGTGTGTCTGCAATTTCAGGAACAATTATTCCAGATGAGTTCTTGCTAGGAGAATGGAGAGGGTCACACATCACATCCTGCTAGCCGCACATGCATTCGCCTAGCTAAATCATCTGTCAAATTAATAACACTCCAGATGTAGAGGCCGACTTACGAAACAATCAAGTTTAGGACGACCCGGCGGCTCATTTAGCCCTATAATTTTTTTGATAGAACCCTTCTTGAATCACCATTATACTTGGGTTTTGGTGCGTCCATAGTGCATAAGTCGTATCAGATATGTGCTTTTGAGATTTCCGAAAGGAGTTGTAGTGAAATAGCCCGACGTGCATGGCTTATGTTTAGAAGGCGGCATTGGTTACATGAGGAAAAGAAATAAAAATAGGTCAGCGCGCATGTAACTTTCTTACATTTTTAAGAGCTAGTAGCACCTCAGCACACAATTGCGAATACATGGTTGGTATATGCCTATGTGTGAGTGATGAGTGAATGTCAAGGAGGTGATTAGAGCTTTGCTTAAGTGTGTGTGACTAACCATGGTATGAGTTGTGTGTGCAACGTGTCTCTTGACTTGTGTATATACAGGTGTTGAGCGTGAGACGGTCGATGACAATGGAGAAGATCAAGCGGGAGCCTATTCACAATGGACTTGGAGCGGTGAAGGGTGGACACGGAGGTGGAGGATGGACTGTGGATGATTGGACATGTCATTGAGCAGTGATAAAGACAGCATGAGCAGAGTCTAAACCAAAGATGGACCAAGGCAAGGCAAGGCGTTGCGAGCTCTTGGTGGACCACCAGGCTAAGGACATGGAGGACACGCATCGACATCGAAGGCTTTGCATAGTGACTATGCTGCCTAGAGGGTTTGATAGTTTTGGCCTCAAAACCGTAGGCGAAGTGGTTTCCAGGTTTGGGCACATAGTGTCATCAGAGAGCTTGTGTCGAGGCGAAGCTACTTCATGAAGGGTTCGTGGTCGTCCGATGCATGGAAAACTAATTGGACCATTTCTCCCCTGATAGCTAAGTGGTTAAAGTCTAAATCTAGGGGCACTCGTGGAATTGTGTAATAGCTCTATAAGTAAGAGTAGTGGCTGTCCAAGACAACCATTTTTTCATCCTTGGTATTTTACTTAGTATTAGCCAAGGGCTTCATGTTTTAGAGAGATTAGGCTAGAGAGGATTGATTACCTCTTAGGTTAGTATCTTATCTGAAGTGGATGATGTTTGGGACCCCAAAACCTTCTTCTCATCCTCATTTTTGGTGAAATTCTTGAGAATAGTTGAGCAGAGGTTTTTGTGTTGATTTCTATTGCTTATTGGGTGCCATGAGGTCCTAGGAACATGTCCATGCTCTGCCTTGAGTTGAATTCCCACAAGCACCTTTGATTCTCCACTCAAGAAAATAGCAAAAGCCAAATTTTGAGAGAAGAAAATTCAAAATCCTTGGCTAACCTTTGAGCTTTTTGTCAAGATCTCTTGGGGACATATTCACTATAGTCTACGTAAGGTGTGTACAAATTGGTGAAATTTGGATTTCGTTTGGTTGAATTTTGCAAGTTCTGTTCTGCTCTACTGGTTTAGAGTTTGTATGAAACTTTCGCAGTCTGTGGTTTTCCATGACACTGTCCCAACTTTTTTTTGCTTTCCTATACCAAGATGTTTACCTATTTTTTTCTCTGATCCTTTCCTAGATTATCTTGTCACTTGTTGATTTAAATGACCTATGATTGTTTCCCATTCACCCCTTGATCGCCTTTTCACTCCTTCAATTGGCACCAGAGCAGGTTAAGGATCATACCACCTTGATCAGATTTGTGGTCCATAAAGATGACAATGGAGTGCGCTAGTAGAATAGCCCTCCTTGTTCAATGGAACCAATTATGCTCTTTGGAAGATATGGATGTCTACTTTATTGCAAAGTCTTGGTTCTCAAGTTAGGGCTATATTCTTGGACTAGGACTACTTTTTTCACTTCCCTCTGTTTGATTTAGTTTGATCATTTCTCAAGTCTTGACAATGCTTACAAGATTTGGTTGACTATCAAAAAATATCATGAGGGCTCATCTCATGTGAAAACCAGACTTTTCGAGACTCATTGACGTGAGTATGAGAATTTCTTGTAGTTGTGTGGTGAGAGTGTTGACTCGATGTTCAACCACTTTAAATCTATTGTGAACAAGATGAGAGCCAACAAGCCCTAGCTACCCGACAATGATCATGAGAGAACCCTTAAGTTGCTTCATGCTCGAGATCATTAGGTGTGGGAGGTAAAGGTAGAGGCTATCATCGAGTCACCCAACTACGAGACTCTCACAATTGATGAGTTATTTAGCAAGCTTAGGTCCACTGAAATCAACAACAAATCAAGAGCCAAACTTGAGAGCCCATTCAACCCAACCATGGCCTTGTTTTCGAGTTTGAGTGAGTCTTCTACTAACACTTCACATTTGTGTTTTGCCTTGTCTTCTTTGTATCAGAGTAGCAGATGGAGGTGCTTGGTGCTTGGAGACAAGGAGCTTGCTTTGATCACAAACAAGTTCAAGCACTTACATAACAGCCTAAGGATCCAGAGGTAAGGTGGACACGAGGACGACTGATTCAGGTGTGGAGACTTTGACTACTTCCTCATTGATGACTGTCCCAAGAGACAGGGCAAGACCAGCTTCACCAAGCACAAGGACAAGCATGAGTAAACCTATGCTAAGCACAAGCCTAAGGGGAGGAACATAAAGAAGTACATCAAGAACACCAAGGCTCAGGAGCATGCCTTCCTCGCCTCCTTTAGTGAGCTCGACCTTGACCTCAATTTAAGCGATGATGGTTCCACTTCTTCAAGTGACGATGAGTGCGAGAAGAAGCTTGAGGACATGCTAAATGGGATATGCTTCCTTGCCGACACCACCAAGTCCAAGGATGGGTACTATATCATGTCCCTTGGCGATAAGAAGGTGGATGGCAACGACAATGACTCCTACTGTGAGGTACCTCTCTCGGCCAATGAACTTGTAGTAGAGTTAGATACCCTGAACAATGCTTTGCATAGTCAGGATCATTTCTAGAAGTGTGCTATGTGTGAGACAAATGACTTTAAGGCTAGGCTTGAGCCTGTTTCTAAGGATCTTAAGGTTGCTAGGGCTACTCTTGTTGTGTCTCATGAGATAGTGTGATAGCTGTGTAGTTCATATGTCTAATCATTCGAACTTGCAATCCAAGTACGCCTGTTTGATTAATGAGCTTGATGAAGTAAAATCCATCAACACTAGGTTAGCAAAGTGAGAATGAGCAAGTAATGATGCATTTTTATAACCCTTCATTGAACAAATTAAATGGCACAATACTAGTTTCATTATCACTTCCTAACCCTAGTGTTGACCCATTTGCTCATTCTTTCTCTCATTTTTGAGTAGGACGGAGGCTTGGAGAACACATGGCTCATTGACTATAGTTGTTCGTGTTCTAGATGGTTCTCCAGCCTCTCCCCAGTGGTGACCTAAAAGAATAAACTTTTGGGGACAATGGTTAAGGTAGAGTGAAATTAGTTGGTGCTATGAAGGTAGGTGAGAAGGTCATGCTTCATGATGTTGTTTTGGTTGAGTGTTTAAGAAGGGAATATGAAGGTAGGTGAGAAGGTCAACTTGCTATAGCTTCTCAAAGATGGCTTTGAAGTGCACTTTAAGAAGGGCCTCTCTCTTGTTCTTGAGTCTCGAGGAGATCTTATTTGTTGGATTTTTCCCTTTGGTCATATTTTTCATGTTGACTTCTCGAGATCATTTGGTTCTTTTCACTGTTTGATGGCTAGATCATCTTTTTATTT